CCCACTCTCACTCCTGCTTTGTGCTTATTGACTTGCTTCTCATCGCTGGCTGCTGTCCACTCTGAATGCATGAGTCCCTCCCTTTCCCTTATTATTGTAATTGTTATGTGGACACAGGAGTCTGACCCCAGCTTTGGTGCTGACATCTGGCAGTTTTCAAGCCTCGCCCTCCTTCCTCCACTTCTGCCCACATCTCCTCTGCCCCTGGAGGGGGTCCATACACTCCAGCCCCTGACCAGCACAGAAGTCCCACCAGTCCTCACTCCCTGACACTGCTCACCCTGTGCCTGGCCCTCTCCTGGCTCCCTGAGGCCATTGCACTTGCTGGAGTGGCCTCCCCACTTCCTGAGACAGAGGTTCTGTCAGAGCTGCACGTTATCTCATCCTCAGACTCAGCTTCTGAAGCTGTTGTGGGCCAGAGTCCTGCTGTCCTTGCACAGGGCCCATAGCCATCGTCTCTATCTGCAGGGCCTAGGCAATGGCCACCGCGCACCCTCTCTTCTCCATCAGGACTGACTGGCTCTTTGCTGCTGAGCTGTCTGTGCCCTGAACATGACTCTGGAGAAGGCCCAGGAACCAATGTCACATGAAGAGGAAAACCAAGCCTCCAACGGGGTCCAGGGCTTAACCTGCTCTTCCTCAGATCCATGGGTCCTGAGCATCCCCTGGTGTCTGGGTGCTCCCTGCAGTCCAGCTCTGCTGTCTCCCTCATGGAGGTTTGTGTCTGGGCTCACACTGACTTCCCCTCACTGTGTCGCTTGCACAGAAATACACAGCCACGTCCTCAGTTCTCAGGCTGTTCATTTGCAGATACAACGTGTTCTTGGTGTTGTCTCTGGAGACAGTGAACCGGCCCTTCACAGAGTCTGCATAGTATGTGGTACCACCAATACTACTAACACCAGCGACCCACTCCAGCCCCTTCCCTGGTACCTGGTGGACCCAGTTCATGCCATAGCTACTGAAGGTGAATCGAGAGGCTGCACAGAAGAGTCTCAGAGACCCCCAGGCTGCACCAAGCTTCCCCCAGACTCCACCAGCTGCACCTCACACTGGACACCTGCAAACACAGGTGTACTGTGTACTGTTTCTCTCACGCATGCGCACTCAGAAACTCAGTATTACTTCTTCTCCATAAATTACCTCTCAGAATACCACAAGGAAAATCCATCTGAGCCCTATCCCCATGGTGAGTGGTCTGTGTTGAGTCCTGATCAGGAGACAGAATTACCTGGGGATCCTGGGGCTGGCCTCCTATCCCAGAGCTGCAGGGCCAAGGCTGGGCTGGTTTTTGAGCAGAGGAGGCCCTATTTGCATGTCTTCCTACTATATAGGGAGCTCTGGGGTTGGAGACCTACAAGGAGAGTAATGCCTATTTGCAGGTGAAAGTGTCCTGAGGGAGAATCATGTCATGAAAACATTTCAATAACTAAATACAGAAACATAAGGAGGTTTGGGGCATGTCCATAGGACCACATCTGGTGACATTGACCCCTGCTTCTGGACTGATTCCTCCCTTCTGGCCCCCACTGTTCCCCTGAACCAACTCCAGGGCAGAGCAGAACCTGCCCAGTGAGGATGCAGAATCCTGGTATGAGATGAGAGCAGGGATGAGTGTCCATGGTCTGGTGTTACCCCCTCTTCAGGGCTTGACTCCCCTGTGGTCTCAGAGTCCTCACTATTATGGAGAAGGTCGTGCCTCACCTGGGAGGTGTTCCCTCATCACCTGAAGGGAGTCAGGTTTCCCCAGGTCTGTCACATGCACCTGAGGTCTGTGTTGTGCCCAGAACCACTATCATAATCCCCACAGCCCCTGTTCTGTGCCACTTGTTATCAGTGGCCTGAGACCCCCTCCAGCGCTGATGTGCATGGACATCTCCATGTGGGTGTCAGGAGGTCTGCTGTTCCTGTCAAGGCTGCAGCTGGCCCTGTGGTCGGACGTGGCGTCTGTCATTGCCCCTCTATGTTCACCTGAACCTGCTGAGTCTGTCCAGTGCTCTGGGGAGTGGGCTGCTGTGTGTGTGGCTGTTTGTTGGGAAGACCCAGGCCCAGAGCCCCCAGGACGGTGTCCCTGCATCACCTGGCCTTCATCAGGCATTTGAATGACACAATTTTTCCTGCTCATGTTGAATTTAATAGAGACTGGAGAAGACCTTGCTCAGGCCAGACTACCCTCTCTGTGCCTGTTGGGAGCTGCCACCATATCCCCAAAGTAACAGCAGTCACATGTTCCCACCTGCACAGAAACGCTGTCTTCTGCAGCTGAGCCAGAGCTGTGAGCACTCCCAGGACAGGGCAGCAGTTCCAGCCTCGATCTCATGGATCCATAAATATGCCAACTATGGATACATCCCTTTTCTGGGAATGGGGGCTTCTCACTCACTTCAGGGAAAGACTGTGGAGACTGAAAGAACCTTCTGCAGGCTGTTGTCCTGCCTGTGGTTGAGTCTCTTCCTCTCTAACCCCATGTGCACCTGTGTGCTCTCTTCCTGCTTCACTGTGATGCACAATGTGACAGGGCCTTGGAGGGGGTCCTGGGGGACAGGGTGTCTGCGTCATGGCTCAGGGAGGCTGACAGTGTCTTCAGGGAGGTAATGCCATGAATCGTCTGGTTCAAGCACCTGCATGTCCAGGACCAGAGCTTGGAATCAGCCCGTCCACTGTCCATACTAGCCTGCCTGCTCCCCAGAAATCTGTGTCACACTGGAAATATAAGTGACAGGACATCTGAGTGACATGAGAATTCTGAGAGACATGGGAAGGGTGAGTGACTATGGAAATCTGAAGGGCAGAGGGAATCTGAGTGACAGGAAATGTGAGTGACATGAGAAATCTGAGTGACAAGAAACCTGAGTGACATGGGAAGACTGGGTCCCTTGACCTTGCTCCCTTGGTGCACCTCCAGTCCCTTCACAGCCACCAGGCCACTGGCCCTAGAAGACTCAGGTGGGATCTGTCAGGATCAGACGTCAGCATCTTGGAAATTCTCATAACAGGCCATCCAATAGCCATAGCACACCCATGGCACAGGGTGAGTTCTGGTCAGGAGAGATTCCTCCCTCTCCCTGGGAGCCTGCGCCTGAATCAGCTGATTCCCTTTCAATGGCGGGTGAGGAGCCCATGGGATGGGGCCCTGGTGACAGGTGTGTGTGGTGTCAGTTCTGAACCAGCTCAGGTCCTCAGAGGGAGGGGTTGGGGCAGCCTCCATGGCCCAAGCTGGAGAGGCCCTGATATGAACCAAGACGGCACTGGGAACACTGGAGCAGCATTGGATGGAGCAGGTCAGACCACTGAACTCTGACCTCCCAACCTCTTACCCTGAAGAATAGCCTTCCCTTGCTTGGTGCTGGGGACTGACTCTTAAATACTAATGCATTAAATTGGAGTTTACAATGGAATTACTTAAGAATATTCCCAGTATGTTTAATACGATTAAGCTCCTAGGAAAGTTAGCATTAAATATAGTCAAATATACAGGAACCATGTGAAGGACATGATAAAGATAGAAAGAGGAGATTCCTCAGAAAGTGAATGGGAGAAATTAATTGCAGAAGCTGAAAGTGGTCAGTGGGGGCGAAAGCTGTGAGGAGGCTGTGCAGAACAAGACATTAAGCCACAGTGGGGCTGTCTCCCATTGAACTGAGATTTGCCTGTTTATGGAAGGTCTTCAGTGGGACCAGGCACTGGACTGACAGTTCTAGTCTCAGTGGATTTTCCAAGACAGAGTCATCCTTTCAAATGGGAGAACAAAGAGGTTTGCTCATTTGAAACACAGTCTTCATCTTCCTCCAGTTACATTGGCTATTTATTGTGGTTTTCATAAACGTGTTTCTAATGTGGACTCACCTCTCCATCCTCCTTTAGGGATATCCTGTAATATTGGCCTTGCAGATACTGACTGGATATCTAGGCCATGGTCACTGTGGACAGTGTGGCATTAGGATGACCAGCCACCCGGCCTATTCTGGGACTGTTGTCTGCTCCAGCACCCATGGGCCTGTCCATCACGGTGCTCCACAGCTGGTGGGGCCGCCCGGATGACTGTGACCCCAGGTGTGTGACTGTAAGAGGGATCCTGGGGTCAGCATCCCATGGGACTCACACATGAACCAGCTTGACCTGCAGCAGGGCCCAGGGGACCTAAACTCACAACTGATAACATATGGATCCTCATGAGGGGATTAGAGACAGGACACAGGATGGGAGAATATACTTACCTAGGTATGCACCCTGGTGGCAAATTGAAGCCACAACCCTTCTGTGTACGGGACAAATCTCCATCCAATGGAGCCACCTGGCCAGGGAAACAGGCAAGTGTTTTTGTATGAACATAAAGATTCATTCTTCTGCTGGTTTGGCTCAGTGGGTAGAGTGTCGGCTGGGTTCAATTTTGGTCAAGGGCACATATCTGTTTGCAGGCTCCTCCCTGGCCCTGGCCCTGGTCAGGGCATGTGGAGGAGGCAACCGATCAATGCGTTTCACATTGATGTTTCTCTCTATCTTTCCCTCTCTTCCACTCTCTCAAAACAAACAAACAAACATACAAAAAAAGATTAATTCTTCTGGAGCAAACACTCCTAGTAGGATCAGTGAGACACATGTAAAGTATATATTTAATTTCTTAAAAAACTCGATTCACTTTGCAAAGAAAAGATTGACGGGACATACAGGGACTTGGTGAAGGGGAGTCCCCAGTCACTGCTGATATGTCATCTGAAAACGGCCAAGTTACCTCCTCCACTGGTGTCTGCAGTGAGAATATGAGAAATTAGAGCCACAGAGAAAGAGCGATTATCAGCCTCATTGCAGCTGAGAGCTTGAGAGGAAATCCCTCCGCCCAACGGAAGGCCCTTCCTTCCCACCTCCCTCTGCCCCTGCTCCTGGGGCTGCTCTCGGTGCTGTGTGTCCTGAGCGCCGCCTGGTGTCCGAATAGCCCCCTGAAGCCCAGCCCTGCTGCCTTCCTCAGGGAGATTTGAGTCTGGGATCACACTGACTTCCCTTCACTGTGTGTCTGTTGCACAGTAATACACAGCCATGTCCTCGGTGGTCACGGAACTCAGCTGCAGGGAGAACTGGTTCTTGGAAGTGTCTCTGGAGATGGAGGTTCGGCTCTTGAGGGAGGGGCTGTAGTAAGTGTTTCCATCATAACCTATGCACCCCATCCACTCCAGCCCTTTCCCCTGCGGCTGACGGATCCAGGTCCAGCAATAACCACTGGTGATGGAGTAACCAGAGACAGTGCAGATGAGGGAGAGTGTCTGTGAGGGCTTCACCAATCCTGGGCCCGACTCCTGCAGCTGCACCTGGGACAGGACACCTGGGGACAAGGAGCATCAGTCCCTGTCAGTCACCTGCAGTCACAGCCATACCATGACCCCTGTCTGACCATTGAGACCCTCACCTTGGGGGGCTGTCACCAGACACAGAAGAAGACCCAGCAGTCTCATCATCTTCTAAACCACAGCTCTGCCTTCCCAGAGACCTCAGCCCTGTGTGAGGAGAGAGCTGTGAGCCTGCACAGTCCAGGAGAGGATGTACCCTGGAGCTTGAACAGAAATTTGCATGTGGGGCAACCTTTCCTATAAGTGTAGGGACTGAGGTCTGACCTCCCTGGTCATTCTGGGGCCTCTATGGGGGCATCTCTTCCCTTGACCTAAATGAGCATGTAAATCAGGGACTGGGGACCACATAGGTGATGAAGAACATTGGTATTAAATAAAAAATGGCCTAAACTTTCTGAGCATAAGAGGAAATTGTGGACTAGATGAGTAGGTTACAGTTTTAACTTCTCATGCATCTTTTAAACAGATGTGAAAAGGATTACCGTTTGTTCCAACCATTTCTGAATTTCAAAATCATATTTTATCCACATTTCCAAATTTTTAAATTTAGTTTTATAAAAAATTTCCTACTGTTGTGAAAAATATAAAGGACAGCTATTCTCATATCATATATCTTAATTTATGATGATATTTTATGATGATATATCTGAGAAACTACCTCCCAAGCACAGGCAGGTGAGACATTCTTGACTCTGGATTTTATAAATTTGGTGTTTTTGTCTACAGCTCCCTGTGAAAACTCTTCCTTTATGCAAGCCCATAGCCTATTGCAAAGACCCCAAACTAGTTACATCAGAAAGAGTCATGGCTTTAAGTGGATAAAAAATAAGAAATAAAAGCAGTGATCATGAATGTGCACAACTCAGAATCATTCCTATGTTGAAATGATGATGCAAGGAGATTGATCTATTTCCTCAGTCTAGTGTTATCAGTGATGTTGTGGCTCAGAGGGAGGTGAGTGAAGAGAATTCCCACCAGAGAATTTCCTACAGGAAAGGAAACCTCAAACCTGAGAGGAATCCCTCACTCCCAGCCTCCTTCTGACCTTCTCTTGGTAGGTCAATCTGGTCAGAGGGTGCTGGGCTCTCCCACAAACCTATAACATCCTTAATGTGTATATACATTCTCCCATCAGACATATGATTTAGTAATATATCCCTCATATTTATGTGTGTGTTTTAATTTTCTCAATGGAATCTTTGGGAGAAAAAAATACTTTAATTTTAACCAAGGATAATTTAACAATATTTTCTTTATTGGGACCTGTTTGGGGTGATTTTACAAAGAACTCCCCAGAAAATGCTGAAAAATGCTGAGCCTCCACTGTCCATGTGGATTGGCTACAGCAGCCACAGGGACTGGAGCAGGTTCTGGTACCAGAGGGGAGCGCTGCTGGGGAACTACCCATAAATCTGGACGTGAACATGGAACTGGGTGAGGGGTGGAAGCTGGATTTGTTTGAGTCACATGACAGGAATGTGCCTGATGTTCATGGACAGAGTTACTGGACATATAAGTTTAAAGCCTCCTCCAGTGAAGGCCCAGAAGGAAGTGCAGGGCACGATAGAGGCAGCTTGTATCATCATAGGAAACACCTGAATAATGATGAACAGAAGTTTTTTAGAAATGGACATGTTAAAGATCATGCAGGCAGGGATCAAGAGCAATAAGGAACATGTCTTTACAAACTGGTGGGAAGGGGATCCCTGTTTCCCACATGCACATTGTCACAGTGTCTCTATTCTAGAAGGTAACACCTTCCCAGGTCCAGGGGATCTGCACTTGGACACCTTTGAAGTCATTAGTCACATGGTCTCACCATGGATTATCCAAGCTTCATAATTCATTGGGGCCCCATTTATGAACTCTTTCAATACTTTCAGAGGAGAGTGGACACCCCTCACTGGGACCCATGGTGATCGTGTGTCTATATCATTTGATTAGACCAAGACCTGTGTCTCAGGCATTCGTAGTGATCATCATGATCATCATCATCATCATCATCGTCATCACCATCATCACCATTTGTTTACTATAATCATTCTTCTCATTTTCTATAGACATTGGAGTTTTCCACACACAATGGCTTTTTATAGGAAAGAAAAGCAGGCATCTCCTCTTTGGTTATTATTGGGAAAGTGAAACCCCAATGGCCCAACTGTAAGTTGACACAAGGCCTTCTTAAAACTGATGACCTTAAATGAAGTACATATTCCCATCAAGACACTGGACTAAAACCAGTGTCCAATTCTATCATCTTCATCAATACCACCATAACCACCATCACCAATGAAATCATCATCATCATCATGATCACTTCATCATCCTCATTTGTTTACTTATAATTATTGTTCTCATTTTCTGTAGGCCTGTTTTTTGAACACATGACACTTTATCTCAATTTTTGTTTATTTTGTAAAGTTGTTAAGTAAAATCGGTAGCCATACTCTATTTTACTTTTTGTTTGACTGCTGACAACTGATAGCTTATTCTTATTTCTTCTCCATCCATCATCAGGAGAAATATGATAAGAAATCCTGGTTTTGTCTTTAGATGTCATTGGGAGATTAAAACCACAGAAGCCCCTGGGAGCAGAATTCCTCCTCCTTCCCCAGCACCTCAACAAAATAAAAGCACCAAGCCAGTCTTCTTTCCTGGCTCCATCAAAGCAGGCTGACTTCCCTAGCATCCCAGAGGTTTCAACTCTGTGCACAATAAACATTTCATGTCCCCTTGGTGTGTGGGCTTGTCATCAGCCTGGACATCTGTACCAAGCTGCTGTGGGTCCCTGTGCTTCTGTCTGGTGTCACCTGCTCTCAGTGCTATGATCATGATCACAAGTCAATGACCTTCACCACCAAGGACTTTCTTCACTGGCATTGGGATCACACTCCTCTGGTGCCCACTGTCCAAGATGCTCGTGCCTTCTGCTGCCTGGTTGGGACCCTGAGCTGTGTGGGGCTGAGCTGTAGTGTTGAATCGGCAGCATCTCTGGTTGCATTTAACTCAATTGGACAGAAGACTTCATCATTAATTGGTACTTGGCACAAGAGTGTCTGAAAGAGACAATCTGTGGTTTGTCCACGTGAGAAAGTTGTCTCTGATTGCAATAGACATTTCTAACATAGAGACATCAGATTTAAACAATGAACCAGGAATTCAGAGGTTCCCTGAGGGAAACTGTGGCATGAAGAGGAAACCACACAAGAAACCAGCCCAAACCTCCAAGTGCACCTGCTGCTGGGATGGTCCTTATGATCAGGGACCCTGGGCGCCCCCTGGTGGTCACAGCCTCTCATGCAGGGAGGTTTGTATCTGGGCTCACACTGACTTCCCCTCACTGTGTGTCTTGCACAGTAATACACAGCCGTGTCTTCGGCTCTCAGGCTGTTCATTTGCAGATACAGCATGTTCTTGGCGTTGTCTCTGGAAATAGTGAATCGGCCTTTCACAGAGTCTGGGTAGTATGTGCTATCAGCAGTATGAGTAATAGTAGAAACCCACTCCAGCCCCTTCCCTGGAGCCTGGCGGACCCAGTTCATCCAGTAGCTATTGAAGGTGAATCCAGAGGCTGCACAGGAGAGTCTCAGAGACCCTCCAGTCTGCACCAAGCCTCCCCCAGACTCCACCAGCTGCACGTCACACTGGACACCTGCAAACACAAAGATATCCTGGTCAGGAAACTCTCACACGTCCACTGTTTCTCTCACTCATGTCCACTCACATACTCAGTGTCTCTTGTTATCCTTAAATTACCTCTTAAAAGAGCCACAATAAAAACCCAGCTGAGCCAAAACCCCATGGTGAGTGGTCTGTGTTCAGTCCTGATCAGGGAATGGGAACACCTGGTGATTCTGGGGCTGGACTCCTGTCCCAGAGCTGCAGGGTCAGGGCTGAGCTGGTTCTTATGAGCAGAGGGAACCCTATCTGCATGTCCTCCTACTATATAGTTATCTTTGGGGTTAGACTCCGCATAAAGGACAAGGTCCCAGAGTGTGACATGTCCAAGAGTGCATGTCTGCTGACAATTACTCCTTTCATCCAGGCTTGTGTCCTCCCTAGTGGACCTAAATGTTCCAGGGGACATGTACAAAGAATCAGGAGAGAAAACTGTGTTTAGGGGAAGATGTGGGTAATGATTTAGGAATGACCATATTTGGTTCAGGAAAACGTTGTTATTGGAAACCTTGATGTCTGCATGTGACCTTTGGACCACTGTCACCATGTCCCAGTTCAGTATCAGGTCTCCTGTCTGTGACCTGACCTGGGGGTGTCCACAGAGAGACAGACATGTGATAGGGGTGCTGGTGGATGAAGGGGGGCAGGTGGGTTTTACAGGGTCTGCTCTGTAGTTGACGCTGTGGGAATGGCTAGGGAGAGTCAGCAGGCCTCTGGATATAGAGCACAAAGTGTGGAGGGATCTTTTTTTGGTCTTTTTTCTGTGTGTTTTGTTCTAGTTTTTCTTCTTAATCACTGATTTGATGCTCTGCTTCATCAAATGTACTTTTTATTCCTTCCAGTGTATTTTTAATGTCATATATGGTATTCTTAATTTCTAATGGGTTCTTATTCATAGTTTTATGGAGTTTTTCACTCCATTGTAGTTCCCATTAAGTTCCTTATAATTCTCACCAAGTTCCTTGAACATCGTTATAACCATTGCTTAGAACTCTACAGCTGATAAATAGCTTGTCTCCATTTGATTTAGCTTGTGTCCTGGAGACTCCTCCTGTTTGTTTTGGGGCCTGTTTCCTTGTCTCTCCAATATGGCTGTCTCATTGTCTTCCTCCCTATGTATCAGATAGAACTGCTATGACTCCAACTCTTTGTGAGGAGGCCTTAGGTACTTGGTGTCCTATGAGCCCCATTGGTGCTGTCTCCTTAATATCTGCAGCTGGATGCCCTGGAATGTCCCTAACTGGGTTATGTGAGCCCTCCTGGTGTAATTGGGTCTTTATTTCTGTTGGCACATTCATGGCTGGCATTGACCTTCAGACAGGCTGACTCTGAAGCTCAAACCAGACCACATTATGGAAACTAATGTACAAGTGCTGAAAATACCAAAGAATACAATACAAAAACAAAACAAAAAACCACCACCACCA